TCCTTCCCGTGATATCATAGATATATCATAATTATTATCGCCAGCATTTAAGGAAGTCACCAGAAAATGTCATGTCGTTAAGCGACAAATAACTAAAACTTCTTTAAGCACAACCGATAATTGCTTTGTTTACAGACGTATTAAAGCTTATACTAAATATGAGTCTAGTTAAAGGTCTTTCTAACCAATGGTTATGGAATCTGGTGATTCATCACAGTGATCACAAAATTACAACGTTCAATGCTTTCGTGAGCATTGTGTGTTCCTATGACGAATTATAAAACCCATATCCCTTTAAAGCCCAGTAGTTCTATATGTACCATTCGTTTTAAGACACTAAGAGTCTGCAGGATGCTCACACAGTGCATTTGTGTCTCTCGGATGCTTCTCACAATAAACAGGGGTTTCCCCTTACACAGCATTAACGGTCGATGTGTTAACGGAGGCGTAATGTGTTTTCTGTGACGTACGAAAGGAATATTTTCATGTTATTTATGCTTATGAAATCACCATTTTGTAGCAGAACTTCCGTCTAATTGTCTCTCATGTTAAAGCAAACAAATTAGTTAAAACTGGCTCGATTTTCAAATTAGTTGCATTATACTAAGTTAAAAACGAAGATAATTCTTCTCAGAGTTTCAGGTTAAGGACTATAATTCCTTCGTCATCAGCATCGAGGTCTGGACCTTCCCCTCTGTTTCTCTATTTCATGGGTCGATCCTTCCAGGGTAATTTCTAGCGTCCAACGGGTCTTGCTCCTTCATCTGTACGTTCCATTAACCGTTTTGGAATGCATCGAGGTTCATGAATCTAGTTGGGTTTACTGTTCTGAATTAAGTTATTTAAATTGTATATATTTAGTTCGTTCATAGCCACTATGTTTCATATAAAAATATGAAAATAAGTGTCATGGCAGCGGTGGACACTGCAGTGGAACTGCTGCAGTGCGTTCAAAATGGCTGTACTTCTGTCCGCAAGGCTTCTGGCATTTTTCAGGCCGTCCTTGCATCCATGCATCGTCAGAATAAGACAGGAGAGCAGAAGCATCATTTTGAGAACCTACTCTGACCCTATTAACAAATGTTACCTATTGTGACTGGAATAGCATAATGATTATTTTGTCTTAAACAGAAATGAGTACCAGGAATCTTTCTGGGGTGTAAAAGGCGGCCGGAGTGTAAGGCTGACAACCTCACCGACATCTGTGAGCTGACCGTCTAGCACATGTGGGAGCCTCGACGTCTCACAACCCTATGGGCCTCCGCTGCCTGCTAGAGGGATAGCTACGCCTTTTTCTTCTTTCAAAACTTTGTTTTTAGTTACTTCTTGTGTTCATTCTTGAACAAAACATTTCTTTATTAATAACGGCTGTCTAAGAATGTTTAACTTAAGGTCTACTGACCTACTGCTGAAGTTACTGCTGTAACAGAAGTTCTAATGTCGTACTGCTGTACGGAACACCGGGATAATTGTGTGTTTCATTGTTGAATGTAGAAAGTGACAGAGATAGAAGACAAAGCAATTATTCACATCTTCCACTCCCAACTCGCGTCTACTTCATAGATCCCTAGCGTACGTAACGGTTATATCCGAATTCCCACAGTCCTGCTCTTACCGCGAGTGCATTAAAGTCTCCAAATCATTATCGAAGCATTGCCGGACCCATGTTCATATGAATTGTTTTCACAGCGTTCAGCAACAGCCCTCACCTTCCTTTATTTTTTCATATAATAAAAGTAGAATCTTGACTTTTAATATGTTCTTTTTTGTTGTCCACGATTATGCTTTTGATCAGATGTCATCCTCTGGATGTCATAAAATTTAATTTGTCTAATTACATCGTCATTCTCAATTTGTCTATATATTTATTTCATTTCTGATTTAGCAACCGAAAATTGTCTTAATAATAATATATAAGGCCGGTCACGGTAGCCGAGCGGTCTTAGGCATGTACTGTCTTCGTTCGCTTGGAAACCGGGATCGTGGGTTCGAATCACACTCAGGTCATGGATGTTTAGTTTGCGTGTGTGCATTTTTTTGTGTTTGTGTACAGGTAGAGACCTTGTGACGAGCTAATCACTCGCCCAAGAAGTCCTACCGAATGTGTAAGATCTAGAAAAACCGAAGTGAACGGAGAAGTTCATGGAGGTAGGCATAGGCCCACTGGGGCTGTAGTGTCAAGGAAAAAAGATAATATACAAAGACTTCATTAAAATTATCTCATTTACGAGTAACAGGAACCTAAGGAGTAACTAAGTTAAATATCAAAGAGTAAGCATCCAAAGGATGTGAGACGCTCCTTCCTGTCCGTGAATTCATACTGTGCTCATCGATGTAAGATTTGAGGTTCTCTACATTCTCATTCCTGTTTGTGTGAGGATATACATACATATACACCTACACGCATATACACACTCTGCAAGCACATGCATACATTTATATACACACAGGCCTACACACGTACGCACGGTTTATGGAGCGCATCATAAAAGCAGGAAATGCATGAGAACAAAATAGGACGTAGAGTGGTTTACCCTGAAACTTCATTGTCATCATAGTCTCGTTTCAATAACCAAGAGTTGGACAACCGAAAGATTTATGCATATGACTTGCAGGAATCCCATTTGCAGGCCTACGACTTACGAAAGAAGCCACTTGCGGCTACGAACAGACAAGCATCGTGTATTTATTTGTAAAGTTCCACAGAATTTGGATTAGTTTACGTGTGAAGAGATATTCGTATGGCTGCGAGTGTTGTTAGGACGGCCGATTACCACGAAATTCAGTACGAGCATCAGTCAATTGAAGGTCACAACATAGCTATATATTGCACTTCATCAGATTCGCTACTCAGATCATAAGAATCCTTTCCTCTCGGAAGGTAAGGTAAAGTTAAATTTGTCCCTGTGGCACTACGCCATGAAGGCGTATGGGGGAGTGGATGTATAGATCCACATTTTATTGACCTCGGCACTAGCTGGAGGTGAGTCATCATATTCATGCCCCGGCCGCTTTACCCCCGGGGAAAGAGCCCCGCGTACCCATTAGATAGGTTGGATGAACCCCAGAGCCGTCTATACGATTTCGAGAGAAGAAAATTCTTGACTCTACCGACACTCGAAATCCAACCCTTCAGTCGTCTGGCTGGTAGCCAGTCGCCATACCGACTACGCTACCCCGGCTCCTTCTCGCCTCAGGGATGATGCTATGTTGTCCGGCAGAACGTCACGGACGTCTTGGAGGCCTGTTGCCTCCATCTTCAGGGTTGAAGCGAGAGCAAACAATTTAAGACCATGAAGAAAGAAGCCACCCCAGCATATGCCCTGCTCACTGCATACTCAACTTGTCCTTGACGACGAAGATGGTCCACTACATTCAACCGAAACTTCGGTACCGGACTGCAAGACGTTACATTCCAAAATATAGGATTCTTCAGGAATGTCCAGGAGACGAAGTGGGATTGAAACTAGACGGGACACATCAACTGCTGGTCTATGTTCATGATGTGAATCTACTGGGTGATAACACAGATGCCGTGAAAACCCACACAAACTTTAATTGACGCAAGTAATGAGGTTGGTCTAGAAGCAAACACAGAGAAAACAAAGTACGAGTATATTCTGCTGTCTCGCCACCAGAACGCGGGGCAAAATCATGATATAAATATGGCTAACAGATGCTTTGAAATGTGTCGCAGTTCAAATATTTGGGAACGACAGTAACAAACCAAAATTTGATTCAGGAGGAAATTAAGAGGAAATTTAATTTAGATAGTGCTTGCTACCTTTCAGTCCAGAAATTTTGTATTTTCCTCTGTTGTCTAAAAATTAAAAAATTAGAATATATAAAACTATAATTTTGCCTGTGGTTTTGTATGGGTGTGAAAATTGGTCTCTGACACTAATGGAGGAACATATAGACTGAGGGTGTTTGAAAACAAGGTGCTGAGGAGGGATGAGGAGACAGGAGGTTGGAGAAAACTTGTACTCTTCGCCAAGTATAATTAGAATTATCAAATCAAGGAGGGAAAGATCGGCAGGGTATATAGCAGGAATGAAGAGAAAAGGAATGTATATAGGCCATTGGTGGGAAAGACAGAAGGAAAGAGACTACTAGGAAGAACAAGACGTAGGTAGGTGAATAATAGATCTTAGAGAGAGGGGATGGGGAGATGTGGGCCGGATTGATCTGGCTCAGCATAGGGACCAGTGGAGGGCTCTTGTGGACACAGTAATGAACCTTCGGGTTCCTTAAAATGTTCGGAAGTTCTCGAGTAGCTGCGTGATTGACAGCTTCTCAAGAAGGGGCCAGCTCCGTGGAATTAGCTACATATCACATTCACAGTAAAAAAATCGTCTTTGTTCAAGTTCTTATGTGTACTGGAGTGAGGATTATGACCATGAAATGAACCCAACATGAGATTTTAAACAGACCTTTTCATATTTCCTGTGAATAAATTAGAAAAATGAAAGAGATATTTTGAAAAGTTGATTTTCGGCCATTTGGTTTTTGTGCGATCCTCTTTGTGCACTCCTTCAACGCTTAAACGACTTCGCCTATTTTCTTCATATATGATATAATGTGTTTACATTATGTATAAATATCATATGACACTGTTTACGTCATCTGTAAACATGACATTGTAATGTACAACAGAACAGTAATGTAAACAGACAAAAAAAAATACGCTTCAATAAAACGATACTATTTTCATTAAATTTCACTAATTTGTAGACAGTATTTCTGCAAAACAATTCTGCATAAGTCACATGTCACAGAAATAGCTACACGCTGTTCAGTCATTCCCGTTATTTTAAAGGAAATGATAATGTTGGTAGAATTAAATTTTGAATCATCTTTAAAACGGTATTTCAATTTTGCAATATAACTTATTTTCAACACTATATATTTATATTTCGTGACACGTTCCTCTGATTATCAGCTATCTTTTAATCAACGTGTTCTACAAATCAGCAACGCAGACGAGAATTCAGATTTACCTCTTCGAGGCCACATGTCTCATAGCGTAGGTCCCTCCTGCGTGCCGTCTCCATGTCTGGCACACCACACAAACAACACAAACACTGCATTTGTTAAAATAGAAACTGATCCATCTCACATCACACCTGCAGCAACTTCCATTTCACAGTCATAGAACATGTATTCGCTTGAACAAAACTTTAATGCTTAGCTACTCTTCCTTTTGTGGTCATTTCATGGCCGAATTGTAATAGCATTTCGCATGGCAGTCACGATCTGATTAGCGGATGGAATCTTACTGTTGTACGACAAGCAGAGTTCAACTGATATCGCGTCATAAAGGAAATATGCAATACACTTGTTCAGGCTGGCCGTGCTGTTTGTTGACTTTGAACGTCGCAGTGCAGAGGTTAGCAGCCGTAACAAATTAAGCGCTACGCCATGAAGTGGGGAAGTGGATGTATAGATCCAAATTTTCGTGACCTCGCACTAGTTGGAGGTGAGTGGTCAGATTCACGCCCCGGCCGTTTTAGCCCCAAGGAAGAGCCCCTGGTACCCATTGTATAGGAGGTTGGGTGGACCGCAGAGCCGGTCTGGACGAGTGGAGAAGTGAAAATTCCTGACCTACCGGGACTCGAACTCCGACCCCTCGGCCGTCCAGCTCATAGCCAGTTGCTACACCAGCTACGCTATCCCGGCTCCACATTTTATATGTGTACCTTCATAAAGACCATTCAGATATTTGACTGTCACTATTTTTGAACAATTCAATGTAGGAAGGTAACATACAACGCCTCAAAAAGGGCTCTGCTTAGAAAGAAACGCCTAGTAAGGCCAGAATTTTTTTTTNATACAGTTTCAGGGCACCTCCCCTTCACAAACTAGGATGGTAGAATGAGTTAAGCGAGAAGTGTCATGTCAACAGATAAGAGCAGGCCTTTTTCTTAATGTATTTATTATTGTAAATAGACAGTGTACATATTGGAAAATGTACGCAGGGAGTTCTGATTCACCTGTTAGTAACCATCCCGACCTCAACCGAGCCCGAGCTTCCCTAGCCAAGACAGCCGACGGCAGCCGAGTGCAACGTAGATGTTAGCAAAAGAGTAATAACCGACGAAAGTATTTTTAAGTTCTCACCCCCCTCCCCCTGAGGTGTAACACCTCTACCTGTACATAAACACAGAAAAACGCTCACGAACATCAATGCCCTGAGTGGGATTCGAACCCACGATCCCGGCTTCCGAGCGAGCGAAGACGGTGCATGCCTTAGACCGCTCGGCTACCGTGACCGAAGGCCAGAAATACTGACCTGAAATAACATGAGGCCAGCATGAGGCTGGTTACTTTACTTTACCTTTTACTTGCAAGGTCATTCCTCCGTTGTCTTTGATTACGAGTTGGACCTGTGATCTCTGATTGGTGGAGGGCTCATCGGATGTTGTCTTGCAATGTGACAAGTCACAAATTGTGAACCCTTTGTTGCAGCATGCCCAGTAACCAGGGGAAAAAAATATATCTTGTTTCTTGTACACTAAACTGTTCCAAGTTCGTTCCAGGCATCGTAATCTAGTAATTTACAAGTGGAGAATTTTTTTGACCAGTCTCATGATTCTGAAAAATTCAGCTGTCACTTCATCCGACGCTTTCAAAGAGCGGCTGTGCTTAATTGCTTAAGCACTATGCCGTGAAGGCGTATGTGGGAATGGAAATATAGCTCCAGCATTTTTTTTCTTGGCATTAGATGGAGGTGAGTGGACACCTTCAAGCCCCTGCCGCTTTAAACCCGGAGAAAGAGCCCCCGGTACCCATTAGATAGGAGGCTGGGTGGACCTCAGAGCCAGTCTAGACACTGTGGAGAAGAAGGAAATTTTGCATTGCCGGGAATCAAACACGGGTCATCAAGTTAAATATCTGTCATATCAAAAATGTTATAAATAAAATTTATAGCCATTAAAAAGATTTTCGTTTTGTCATGTACTACCAGTAATTTTTTGTATGCTGAACATATCTGATAAACTTGGTTTCGTATAAAATAGGAGTTGTTATTCGCTGGAATACATTGAAATTAAATTCACGTGACTGCTTTTAGTGCGGAACCTCAGCTTAAAGTTTTGTCGAAATCGATCAAATAGTTTTTGAGATGGATCAACCAGCAAGACAGCAGATATACATGTCTTGAAAATCAGAACTAAAATTCCGTGGCACTCTCTGAAATTCTTTTCATTCTGTAATTACTTAGAGGAAAGGAAAATAAAGAGTAGTGGTCTGCCATGTCAACACTTCCCAAGTTGCAAGTGACAAATTTTGATGGTTAATAAACTAACGTAATGTATCCAAAAATGTACATATTTATCTTTATTTCTCTTCCTTCTCCTTCTGTCTTCTTCTTCTTTTATTAGGGTTTCTGCCCTGTTTCAATTTATAAATAGTCCCTCAAAGCAAGGATCCTTCAGACGTTTTACAAGATTCCTTAGAGGGGGATTGGCCCATCGCAAGGCTTTAACCGCACAGATATAACACGAACACTGAAAGAAGAAAACACACATGAATTCTCTGAGTGGGGTTTGAACCCACTTTCCCTATGATAGAGCATTCGAAGGTATTACGTGCTTTAGACTGCCCGGTCATTGTACCATATTTCTAACATTCAAAATGAAAGGTAAACATTTGTCCCTATGCTTAGCTAATCAAGCACTACGCCATGAAGGCGAATGGGGGAATGGATGTTAGATCCATATTTTCTTGACCTCGGCACTAGTTGGTGGTGAGTGGCCATTCCACACCTGGACCGCTTTAGCCCCGGGGAAAGAGCCCCCGGTACCCATTGTATGGGAAGTTGGGTGGACCGCAGAGCCGGTCTGGACGACGTGGAGAAGAGAAAATTCTTGACCCTACCGGGACTCGAAATCTGATCTCTCAGTCGTCCAGCCCGTAACCAGTCGCCATACCGACTGCGCTATCCCGGCTCCTCACGATCAGCCCGTAACCAGTCGCCATACCGACTGCGCTATCCCGGCTCCTCACGTCCAGCCCGTAACCAGTCGCCATACCGACTGCGCTATCCCGGCTCCTCACGTCCAGCCCGTAACCAGTCGCCATACCGACTGCGCTATCCCGGCTCCCCAACATTCAAGGTGGAAAATATTTTTCCTGTGTAACGAGTCAACCGCGCTAAATAAATCTTTTTACGACCATAATTAGTTATAAAACTTTTAAGTCTTATGTATATACGAAGTTAGGCATGTTATACAAAATTTATGAGACTAATCCAGGTTACCAGAGAAGTTCATGGAGGTAGACCTAGGCCCATTGGAGCTGTAGTGCCAAGGAAAAAAATAATATGAGAGGCGAGGCTTTCACTGTGGCGAATATTTGGATTGCAGACTTCCCGTTAGTGACGCAACAGTAGGGGTCACCAATGCTTCTCAGGAACCTACAGCCTCCATTTTATTCCCGAACAAATGGTGGAAGATTCTTCCGAAACTTTCGTAACCACGCAGCAGACTACACGATAATCCTGACGATGACGTAACGCTAAATTCCAAAGATATAATTCCCACACTAAGGAACCGTATGCTTGTCGGGAGGGGAGAAAGACGTATATTTATTATCCTAAAACTGATCTTCATGTGGGACATGCAAAAGTGAGTAATCAATAAAGGTAATGGTAAGAAAAGGTAAAGTTGTACCTATGCTTAACTAATTAAGCATTATGCCATGAAGGCGTATGGGGGACAGGCTGTATAGACGCACATTTCATTGACGTCGGCAGTAGTTGGAGATGAGTGGTCAGCTTCACGCTCAGACCGCTTTACCCCCAGGGAAGAGACCCCTGTACCTATTAGATAGGAGGTTTGGTGGGCCCCAGAGCCGGCCTGGACGACGTGGAGAAGAGAAAATTCTTGACCATACCAGGACTCGAACTACGACCCCTCGGTCGTCCAGCCCGTAGCCAGTCGCTATGCCGGCTAAGGTAACTGAAGAAAGTTTCGGTGGTGCAATACGTTGAAGTGTTCATGGTGAGTTTCAGGATTGTATGGGTGCTTATCTAGCGGTCCTTAGGCGTAAGAAATGCTGCGTTGATTAAGATATTTTGATTAATTTGACACTATACATTACTAAATTTTACTAAATTTTATTTTATTTAACACAGAATACAAATTTTTGTATATAATTTTTAAGCGCACCTGACTGAGGAGGAAATTAAGAGGCGATTGAACTCGGGTAATGCTTGCTACCATTCAGTCCAGAACCTTTTGTCTTCTCGTCTGCTGCCCAAAAACTTAAAAAATTAGAATATACGAAACTATAATATTGCCTGTGGTTCGGTATTGGTGTGAAACTTGGTCCCTGACATTAAGGAAGGAACATAGATTGAGGGTGTTTGAGAACAGGCTGTTGAGGAGAATATTTGGACCGAAGAGAGATGAAGTGACAGGAGGTTGGAGAAAACTGCATAATGAGGAGCTTCATAACTTGTACTCTTCTCCAAGTATAATTAGAATGATCAAGTCAAGAATGATGAAGTGGGCAGGACATGTAGCACGAATGGGGGAGACGAGGAATTCGTATAGGATATTGGTGGGAAAGCCAGAAGGAAAGAGACCACTGGGAAAACCAAGGCGTAGGTGGGTGGACAATATTAAAATGGATCTTTGAGAGATAGGATGGGATGGTATTGATTGCATTGATCTGGCTCAGGATAGGGACCAGTGGAGGGCTCTTGTGAACACGGTAATGAACTTTCGGGTTCCATAAAATGCTGGGAAATTCTTGAATAGCTGCAGAATTGGCGGCTCCTCCAGAAGGGCTCAGCTCCATGAGTAAGTAGTTAGTTAGTTAGTTAGTTAGTTAGTTATTGGAGCGGGTGGGTTTCCCCATGCACTTAGACCAGTATTGGTCAATTTTGCTTCCCTCTATGATATTCTACCAGTCTCTATATCCTACCGATATTAGTGTGTACCATCAGTCCCGACCCAGCCAGCGAGTTCGGCCTCCACTAGCTTGGCGGTATCTATAATGCTTCCCCCATCTATCAGAGGTGTTAGAGACTACTTGTTGGGCGGGAAACGTCCTTGAATTTGGCTCGGTGACCTCCGTGGAGATGAGGTTCTTTTACGTGCCGTAAAGCTACGACACGGGACACACGGCTTAAAGTCCCTCCCGGAGGACTTGTTCCCTGAATTTTTCCGCCCTTAAAAATTCCACGACCTCCGCCGGGTTTGAACCCGCGTACCACGAGTCATGAGGTGGGAACGTTACCTCTAGACTACGGAGGCCGCTCCGTAAGTAAGT